GTTCTTGCAGACAACCTCAAAATGCTGAAGCTTTCCTACGGTGATGAGCCTTCAGAATCTCGGAAACCTTCGTGTGTAGCTTCCGGCTCTTTAACACACCCTGGGCTCCCAAGCCCCAGCTATGTTAGGTTACGTCCCCACCGCCACTGGTGGGTGACCATGACCGGAGATGGTTGTAAGTTGGTTGCCCTCGTGGAGCCTGGCCCACTAACCCACCGTTCACGCACGATGTGCATTGAGATGGGTTGGGCTTCAGGCCTTTCTAATGGGAGTGTTTTGGGGGATTTCGTTGATTCGCCATCTCCGGCTGGGTTTCACAGCGCAACTTCGAAAGTAACCCCCACGGAGCCAGTCCGAGTGTCAGAACGTATGAGGTTCAACGGGTAAGGTTCAGGCCTGAGGGGCCCCTAAGCCCCAAATATTTGTCAGGGGTTTGCGCTAGGTCCTAGGTCGGTCTTCAGGCCGAAGGGGTTCAGAGCTGCGGGATTGAGCGGGTTAAGGCTGTAGTGTCGAGGTTTTTGTTGTTTTTGTTGTTGGCAGGTGTCATAGGGGTTTTGGCGTTGATTATGGATCTTGTCAGGTTGTTTTCAAAATCAGTGTTCTGTAGCGTAAAATTCTTTTGTATCCAGTCTAGGAGCCTGCAGTGGAGTGTTCAGGGATTCATCCATGTCATACAGTCGAGACAGCTGAGCTGTTGGTTGTTATTCGTTTGGAGAGACCCGAAGCCGGTAAGCTTTGATCCTGCCTCCGATGTGCCTTAAAGACGCAAGGCCACTTGAAGGGTTCAAAGCCTGCGTTCTTGTTCAAAAGCTTAGTTTAAGATAATAGCAGAGGGATCCAGCAAATAATGGGGTTTCCGTCTTACGGTAACTTAGAATAAGTTCCTTTACAAGAACTCATTCTGGTCTTCTTTCAACGAAGACTCCAGGGTGGAGGGTTTAGGCAACTCGGCCAAGTGAGAACTGCTCCCCTTCTTGGCTCAAGCCAAATCCATCCGAGACTCGAACACGATTTCATATTTCTCCGGGCCCCTTTTCTCCCCCAGGGGCCCGACACCGTGTCTGTGGCTGGGGATTGAGGATGATGAGAGCTTCGCAATTGCCAGTGCAACCACATGTTTTGCGGGTTCGTAGGTAGCTTCTGGACGCATCCTGAAATCCGACTCTTCGGGGTTTGTTGTTTTAGGGTCTGCCATCTTCCGACACAAACGCAACAACATCTGAACTGCAGAGGGGCAGTGGGAGATTGAGAAGTAGAAGGGAGATATTTAGGCTGGCCAGAAGTTCCGGACCCTTAACCTTAGACCCTACCTTGCCACCAAATAACTTCCATCTTTAAGGATTTATATACAGCAAACGTGGCTTCATAGGGTCCAGGTAACCTCTAATACCAATGATTTGCTTGCGACGGGGGTGCACAAATACCCATTTGGCATCAGAAGGGTTGGGCTAGCCTGACTAGCCAATTTCCAGCCACGGACTAGTGCTGCGTAGCCGTCCTTCGGCCACGGAGGTTTTGTCAACGCCAGAGGGCTTCTACAACTGCGGCAAACATCCGAAAGCCATGGGCTCCCCGAGACATACAAAAGTCAAAACTCGCATGGGCAAAGCTCCAAGCAGGACACCGAAATCAACAAATTGTTGCACGTTTCCCGGAGCGTGAAGCCTTGGGATAAGCAACCCCAAAACCAGGTAAGTAGCCAAAGAAGGCGATGGTGTTAAAGCCCAGACAAGGTTTCGTCGTGGAAGCAGCAAATTTTGCACCCTAAACTGCTGCAGCGCAAGCTAAAGCCCCTGAACTCTAAACCCCAAGCACGGTAACCTCAAAACCCGAAACGCCTGTTCTCAGAGAGAAGAACACTGTCCTCACTGTCCTAACAAAGAAGCCCGTCTCCGACTCTTCCTTAAACTTGAAGTTATCGCCAGATCGGCTTACGGTTGGGGTTTAGGCAGAAGGCAAAGTCCAATAATTGTTCGAACCCTAAACCTGGAACTCACTTGGACCTGAAAGAGAGGCCCTAAAAGCTAGAAGATGTCATTTTCAGGCCCGAGCAACCCTGAAGCCCTACATAAACCGTAATATCCTTAAATCCCTATAGCGACCCCTTTCTGGGAGCTTGTCAAAACTCTGCAAGGTGCCCCTGAAGTTACTGTACTCCTAGCAGAACCCATTTCTAGCAGACTCCCTCAGCCTCCCCAAGCCTTGCTCCTATGGAGTGAAGTGCTCGAAAAGCAGAAAAATCACTTCCTGGCAGAAGACCAACACTCTGACTCATGGCCCACTCACCTAAGATCTTGTAAGTGAGGTGGCCCTTGCGGTTTTGAATCCACACCTCCCGGCGGAAGACCGAAACCTCCGAGAGCTCAAAACATGTCGAGCGCTCCGGGCGCCTCCTCGCAGCCGGAAGAGTCGCCGCAGTCGCAATCGCAAGGCGGGCGCGGCGTTTGGTCCGACGTTTAGGGTTTAGGGTTTTGGGAATTATGTTGAAGAGTTTTTCCGGAGCTTTTTGAACAAGCTAGGATTCTATGCGCAGTTCGTGAGGGTTTTCTGTACCTCAAATCTGCAGCACTGAACGGCAAAGTCAGGTGGCCGCAGAGGAGTGTCGAACTATGGCGCCACCTCAGATGCGGGAGAACTTCCCGATCTCACGGAGCAGCTGCCGCTCGCCCTGTCTGAGGGTCCTGAAGGGTTACTTCATGGGTCCACATGAGGGTTTAGCGTTTGGGAAGGGTTGAAGGGTTCTCATAAGGGTACTACATGGCTACAGGGTTCCATAGTACAGTCCCCTTTGCCTTTAAGGGTTCTTCAGGGTTCCGGGTTTAGGGTTCCCGCGAGGTTTGCTCAAATGGTTCTTTTAAGGGCTGCTCGTCCGCTCTAAGCGCTCCCCTTTCATATAGGTTTAGACAAGTATCGGGTTCCTTCGCAAGATGAAAGGCTCCTTCAAGGGTTCCTTTGAAAGGATTGCTTTCAGGGTTCCGATCCGTGCTGAAAAGGGTTCAGGTTTAGGGTGAAAAGTCCAGGGTTAAGGTTTAGAGTGGGTTCAGGCTTGAAGCCAACCCTAGAGCCCTTGTGCACGATGAATCGGTAAAAAAGAAACCCAATCATCCTGACCCAAGGAAAGCGAGTGGTATCTACGAGGACACCAGCTGCCTTCTTCCCGGCCCATCGGGTTCAGTCTGGGGCTTTAGTGGGCATTCCCTCAGATGCTGCTCTGTTCCTATCATACGAAAGCAACGTGCTATTCAGCACACATATTGATTTGTATTTGAGGTTCACAGGGCCTACATATAGTTCCAGGGTTTGGTTCTTTGCGGGTGTTCCGGCTTTAGGGTAAAAGGCTAAACGGGTAAGCCGGCAAGTTGGAACAGCCCGTAAGACATGTTAAATGTTAATGCTTAACCTGGACCAAGTTAATAATATTTAAGTACGTAAGAATCGAACGCCGAGTGTGGTTCTGCCTCGATTTCGGCACCCTACAGTCGCCGATGCTTTAGATCCCCCAACCCCCCCCTCTCTGGATAGAGGATTATGGAGTTGCCTCGTCATACAGGCTCAGTGATTCCACTGTTGGCTCCAGCTCCAACATGGCCACCTGCTACTCATTTCCTTCATCATCATCTTCATCCTGACCATCCCCAGTACCATCTTCATCATCTCACCATCAGTATCATCATCACCATGACCTCGGGCTTGAAGCCCTAAACCCCACGTCGTCGCAGGAGTACCTGGCATACCGGGATCGCTACCAGGAATGGCGTAAGGGAGGTGCTCTGGGAGCTCAAGGCACGACCGGCTGAAAGCTCCACCTTGAAGCTTCCTGTGAAAATGTTGGTGTTGAGGGGGCTACAGGTAGGGCAGGTAGGGTTCCCAAAGCGAGGTTCTATGGGTTTCTGTCAGGCTTCATCGATTTGGGTTGACCGTACGCAGTTGGGAGAGTCAAGGTCCCACGGTGCGGGCCTGTGTGGCTGTTTCGTGTTCATATCCATCGCAAGGTGAGCTCACGGCCGAGGCCTTGGAGCAGCAGCAACTTGGGCAGACTGAACGGGCCTGGGATCAAAAATGAAGATTTGGTGTCTGGGAAATCAGGGTTTTGGAAAGGAGGCTTGCGAGCTTCCGGTTTTCAAGTTGTGGTTATGGGGACTGTATACTGCCGATTAGTAGCCCCACTTCTCTGGATCGGGATCTTGATGAGATCCTCTTGCTTCTTGCGCTAACATGATGGAATCGTTAGTCTTCATTGATCCAGGTTCATGCTCGCGACTCATCTGCGCTCTTAGGTTTCACCAGTGTTCGGGATAGTTGCGGATCATGGTTCGCAGGCTTGTAATGCCGATTTGAGTGCTCTGAAGTGCTGAGCTGAGGTGACGTTTAGTTCTCCTGGCATATTGAACCCTGCCACAGTCAAGCTTCTCAAATTCCCGTTTTCGGGCTCTTGATCTTGAATTTTGCACGTTTGGAGCGGAAGCAACAAGGGAATGTCAGACCTTGACTGCTGAGGTCTGTGGTAGACCGCGGTGATCCGTATCGCTACTCGGTTTAGGGTTTATGCACGGATTCGGGATATAGCGACAACGGGGTCCCAGACTTGAGGGTCGAGGGAACTCGGATTCAGGGCGTAGCTGTGGGCGTCACTCCCAAGCCCCTGCCGTCTAAACCCCGAGAGGGATCACCACAGGGGCTCTAGTAGTTTACGCCTACGCTTTGAAAGAGGTTTGGGGGCATATCATGTTGCAAGCACTTTGGAACCACACTGGGGAGTTTATGTCATGTGTTCAGAGCCCTGCAGGGTGTTGACAATGTTTAGTAGATTGCGTTCTTTGACATAGAGGATTTAGCTTGTATGGCTCAGGATGGTTCCGCTCTGCATCTTGTTCGGGCTGAATGGAATGGAGGGGATATGATATGTCGAAGACCCATCATGAAGGAGCCTCTGAGTTTTAGAAATCCTCACGTGCATCTGAGGCTTCGAATACTGGTATCCAACGGCCTCCATCTTTCGCATGCGCTTCACCTTGGCCTATTGGATTTCCGTTATGCCTCCCGGATGATGTAGGGCGTTACAGGGACTCGGGTGTTCCAGGGCGCTTTGGTCAAAGAAGGGTTCAGTGAGTTCTGCAACTCGTTCTTTCCAGCTTAGAGGACGAGACCTTATATAATCTCGAAGCGCTCATGGCACATTCGTCACCAGCCCCTCAAGTTTTGTCAGGAAATGCTTTGTGATGCTGTTCCTTCATGATCGCCTGCTGGCGTATGTATCTATACCTGTGAGAGCCAAAGCACCCTGCCGTCAATTTACTTTAAGCTTGTGCTTGGCGCAGGTAGGAGAAGCAGACGACTGAGATCTGGACCCAATTTGTTTGGTCTAGGCTCCCTCACTAGCGTCGACTTGCAAGCCGAGAGGCCAATGCTTAAGAGGTTTTGGTTGCGCAGACCTCGGCCCTAAACCCCTCTTGGCGTTTACAAATATTCGGGATGTTCAGGCAAAGCTTAGGGTTTCAGGAGCTGGATTTGAGCGCTTGGGGTGTAACGCCAGTCTAGGGTGGTGCCCTCCTTCAATAGCCAAGGCAGCTCTCCAACTCAGAAGGAAAATCCTGGCACGACCCCTCGCAAAGTAGTCTGTAAGCCCAATCTCCGAATATTTCCGTTCGATGATTCCGTGGCCCTGTGCCCTTCACTCCCGCAGTCCGTAGGACCCAAAGCATAAAACACAACGAAGGACCCTCGGACCTCGTAGAGCTTTAAAGTCGTTTGAGCCAGGGACCTTACACCCTGAACCCGACCCCCCCCCTCCCCCGCCAAAAAAAAACATACCTTGGTGTAAGCCATAAAGTGTAAGCCTCATATATTATAACCTAGACCTAGCATGCCTCAGCCCCCAGCTGTCTCCGAGTGCCTTGAGGTTCCTCCTCGGTTCCATCTTCTTCTGCTTGGGTTCCGCGAACAAGCTCTTGGAAGCTTACGGCGGAAGAATCGTCCAGGCCGATCTTCATCACAGCTGTCACAGCTTGAGGTTTGGGCCTTTTTGAGTTTGGGGTCTAGGTCTAACAAAATTCTATTTAGGGTCTGGGGTTCAGGTCTTTCAATTGGGTCTTCGGATCACGAGTCTAAGTCGGGGCTTCGTGTTTTAGGGCTTCGGAGTTTAAGTTGTGAATCTCCGTGTGACCAGACGTTCAGGCGATGGCAGCACAAGTCCTGATGCAAAAAGGGGTTTTATTCGGGGATTGGGCTGAGATTCCACGGCTGAGCTTCAGCTGTTCCAGCTCTATTACTCCCACGGCCCAGCTGACTCCTCAGCCGCCTTACCACCTCTACCCAAAGCATACAACCCTTGATATTTATATAACATATGATGTAGAACAGCTCATATGTCATATATGATATTTGCCATGTATGCTTATATGCATATGTATATACATATATGTATACATATGGATGGCCTAAGCCCCCCTTGGGACGGGCGAGGTGTGGCCGAATCTTCTGGGTGGTGTTGCCTACACTGTCGGCTGCTACCTCTCTTATGTGCAGCTGATCAACATGCCCACGAGGAGCCCGTAAGGGTTGACTCAGGAGTAAGTCATGGAGTTTTCCATTCCAGAACTCCCCAAGGCAGGGTCAGTACCGTATCACTAAGACAAGTCACAGCGTCCTTAGCTCCGGCGAGGAAGGCCGAGTCGCTGAGGTTGGTGTGCGCCGATTGGAACAAGGCACAGACGTTCAGGGCTACCATTCTTCTTCTTATTACTATCATTGTTTGTAGTAATAGCATACTAGCATTACTATTGTCAGTATTAGGCTAGTATTACTGTTGCGATTTTTAGTAATTAATTTTAACAATTAGTTAGTATATATTGTTATTATGTGTAGGGTTAAGGGGGATTCGACAGAAGCTTTAGTTTGGAGCTCCAAGTCCAAGCCCAACCAAAACCCCGGGGCGGATGCTTGAAGGGGCTGAGGCCAGTACAGAGAAGACCGGCAATAATGCATTAATGCAAATAGAAGCTTAAACAACTACCAGTGTTGTCCCTAAGGGTTCCTTATGCATTAGTGTGTTAATATTAATTCTACCCAAAACCCTATTCCATTTTTATACGGCACTTACCTTAACTGAATCAAGACTCCACAAAGGTCGTGCTTTGTGTCGATGCTTGTACGCAGAGGTGTAGATCTGATGTTGTTTCTGTCCTCTAGATCTTATTCCGCTACCAGACCCCTGAAGACCAACGTCGACGATAACAGCCGTTTAGATTTTGAGGATCCAGCCCCAAACCCTTTATACACCTGGAGCCCTGGTCCATGTCCAGATAGGCTGGCTTTTCAGCATACTGGAGTCCTTTGTAATGAGATAGTAAAAGGGCTTCGGGTTCAGTATGATGTACCAGATCAAATGATCAAAAGGAGAGATTCGTATGACTGATTACGACTTGCGTGTCAGACCTTCACCAGGTGTCGGAGCGGGTGGATGTGCCCTCGACGATCGGAACTATTGCCTTCTTGGCTGGGGCGTGCCTTGGATGCGAATGGCCTTATGGGTCTTTGGGTTTCGATTTGGGGTTTGGACTACTGGAGGGTCGAGGTTTAGGCAGCCGAAAACTCAATGCCCGAGCGCCTTTCTGAATCAAAAATCGCAAGAGACTTGAAAGGCTTTGGAAAAAAACATCGACTTCCAAAGTGTCAAAGTTTCAGTTTCCTATTTCGAACCATCACTTCCCTGTACACCCGAAAGCTCCAAAATGCCGAGTCCCCACTGCACAACACGACTGGCCGAGGATCCTCTTTCAAATCGCCTGCGTGGCCGATGCAGCTGGGCTTTGCTGTGGAAGGGTTTAGGGCTTACTAAGTTTCGGAACCCTACCCTAACCCCTGGACCCTAAACCCGAAATCCTCAGCCTTGATCTCAAAAGCCATGAACCTCGACGCCCAAAGCGCCATTCTTATGGCGAGCAGGCATCGGCCGCAGTAGGTTTAAGAACCTGAAATTTGAGTCCCCAAAGCCTGTTACAGAGGCTTGAATACTCGGACATCGGTCTAGGGGCATATTGCAGTGTTATGATCTTAATTAAGGATTTTGTGACGTGACGGGATACTGGCGTTCTAACATCATGTCGGTATGAAGCCTCGAACCCTAAAACCCTAAAGCCTTGCACCTTGTCCTTCTAGAGAGGTCAGAAGCACCACTAAGAGTTGGTAACTGTCCTGCATAGCTAAGCCCTGAGGCCCAGCCCCGCAAGCCCTCAAATCTTCTGGAGCACTACTGGGTTAGGAAGTGGTTAGGAATTGGGATGTAGGGTGCAGCGTTCATGCCCCAACAGCAGCGCCATAATCCCAAAATGCCACACACACCGAGTTTGCGGATGTTCCGACGCATGCTGATCTCTGGATTGGCCGTGGTCCCGGAGAGGATGGAGAGTCGACGTTTCAGCCGGTCTGAGGGCTCTGGGTTCAAAGGCTTTGGGGTTCCAGATTTAGTATGAGTTCGTTCTGGATATGTTTTTCCAGTCCTTGGCTTCGGAAAGTTTCGTGACGGCATTGAGTCCGGGGGTTGTGGTTTGAGGCAGCTTCAAGGTTTGAGGTTTCTGCACGCAGAAGTCCCGGGTTCTCTAGGAACGATTAGAGTATTTATCGTGTTCGGGGTTTACGGGCTGTAAGCTGTATGCTCGGAGGGCTGGGGTGCTGTGAAGCCCAAGTCCTACTACGGAGGTTTGAATATTTTGTTGCAAGTATCCCTTAAACTTCAGTCCCTATGACACTATGTTTTTCTTCTGTCTGCCCTTGGGCCTTCAACCATCAATTTCATAAACGCCTGTCCTGAATCACCACAGATGGCTACCGACCGGCCTTCGTTGCGCGCCATGTGATATCTTTGGAGATGGGTGGTGTGCGACAGTGGAAGGTTTGGGGTGTCGGGTCTACAGTTTCAGGGGTTTGTTGTGCTGGGGTCGCCCCCGGACCATCAAGGCATCGAGCCCGGCGCGACTGCTTTTGAAGCCCCAGCTATCCGAAACCCCTTTCTTGAGACTCGTGAGTTCTGAAACCCCAGCCTCAAAGGTGTGCCCAACTTCATGGGGAGCCTTCTCTTCACCGTTGGCGGCGCAACCTGGCCGACATCCTCGTCGTGTTCGTCGGGTTCAGGTTTGGACGTCAACCCGCCCAAGCCCTCTATCCTTCCCACAACCATGGTCCCGAGGTCCAGACTTTTCTGTTTTCGCCTGGTTCGTATTGTGCCGTGCCTGCATCAGACTTGAGGTATGTGAGATCCTTCTCAACAGAGGCTTGGCAGCCAAGCGGCCCACTGACACAGTGGGGATTTGGGGCTTCGGCTTCAGAGCTCAGAGTTTCCAGCTGTAAGCTTTTCGAGATTTTCGAGAGATGTTGGATGTATGTTGATTCTTTTTGGAGTATTGCTGTGCGTGGCAACGTGAGCTTCAGACTTTTTTGGCATCACGTCAACACCGAGAGGATGCCCAAGAGCTGTAGCAGGTATGGCAGGTATGGGACGAAGGGTTTAGGTTCTGAGGTTGCGTGGTTTGGCCTTGTAGGGTCCACAGCGCAGGGTCGTTTTAGACGCTGCATTCGGCTCTAACCGGCAAGCTTCAAAGAAATGCTGTTGCCTGAGTGAAATCCACCACATCCCTAACTTCCAAGGAACCGGGGGTGACAGCAATGCCGGAGATGACATTGCTTGGTGGCATCCCCAAACTTAGGCTTTCCATTTTGAAGTCGCTGGCTTCGTGTATAGTTCTAGGCGTTTGGTGTTGAGGGCATTTGGTTTAAGGAGGTGAGGGCAAGCCATGCACAAATGCAACATCCTACGAAGATGGTCCGTGCTAGTTTTCAAGAAAGTTTGCAGGACTTCGGTATACTGAGCACCCCAGATCTATAGCCACCCTTTGAATCCCTGCGCGCAGCAGTCGCTGGAAGTACTGTGTACTATACTTTAGTGCTCTCAGGATTGTCCCGAAGCTGGAAGCAACAGCGTGGATTCTCCAGTAGCTCAGTTTGAAATCAACCTGTCAATGCCGAACCTGAAACTTGAAATCCCTAATCCCTTTCAAGTCTTGCCTGCTGTGTGCGAGTTACGAGAGTGGAAACCCAGGTAGACTGCTTGCACACCCGAAACCGTAAACCCTGACCCCCATCCCTATGACTTGGTCAGCTAGGTGGGTGAGACAAAATTCGTCCCGTCCACCCCAGCTGAACCCTAAAGCCCCAAAGTCCCGTGCCCACAATCACTGATACATGCTTGGTGGCCTTGCAGGCCCCTCAAGCGTAAGACAGCTCCTCTAGTCTTTAACTTCTGGATCCTCAGTGAAACATGGGGATCCTAAAAAAATCAGTCGTTTTCGGATACCTCACACTCTAACGATGTAGTAAAGAGCTTCAAGCGAAACTCTTGCTGATTACTGAGGCGCTTATATTATTTCATCGTATATCCTGGATTCTATCCTGATCGCTCATGAACTTCCAGCATCTCTAGCAACACTGAGGCTTGCGTCCTGGTTCACCCTGGTTGGCTCGGTCTGCTTCGTCGCGAGTGCCGGCAGTGCCCTCTACGTGCCCTGGCATCAGCCGCAGAAGCCCTAAACCCTAAGCCTTGCTGGAGCCAACTTCTGAAGCTTGAGAGCCAATTCAATCTTGAACAGTGGCAGCGCATGGGTTGCATGCAAAAATTCCTTCGTGTCTCATTGCTCGGCTGAGGCGCATGTCTGTACTGAAACATGCCTGGAGCTTCTGGCAAGACAGATCCATGTTGAAGCAAGCTTAGCTCATGCTGACAAATCCGTTGTGTAGAAGAAAAGACCAATCTCCGGCTGAGCTTGCCGCCAAATGTGCACTTCTCCGTGTTTAAGCATTGCATCGATATCGCGAAGCTTGAGCCACTACGCGGGGAAACCCATTGGCGACAGTTCTCGTCCTGGCGGATGCAGAATTGCTTTCCGAGTGCCGCCCCCTTTCGAAAACGCCGTCAAGTCTTCTCCAGACGAAGGTTTCGGACGGTCAGTTGATTGAAGGCTCCCTGCGGGAAGCTTTTGCAGCAGATGGTGGCATGGTGATCGATGGCCAAAACGGCGAAATATTGGCAACATTAGTCCGGTGTACCACGAGGCCAAGTGTATGTAACTTCTTGTTGGAGGGTCATGGAACACGATACCACGAGGCTCTGGATGTTGCATGCGGTGCAAAGGGCGTCGCCATCACTCGCTCCCAGGACGGCTATGTGACCATCTTCTCGTCAGAGCATTTACAGGCTACACGAGACAGGGCACGATGCTTTCGTGTACAAGACGACACGAGGGCCAGCATTTCACCAGGATGAATTGGCAGATGACCACCGGCGAAGCTAACCTCCAGTTGATGCTCGTCGGTGTATCGCCTGTGCATCCAGTACCTGCCATTTGCTGTCGTCCGAGCAGCAGTAGGAGCATTGATTTTCGCAGCAGAGCACAATAGCAATCGCTGTAAACGGGCCAGCCTGCACAGTAGGCAGGCTTTGACTTTCTTCAGCAGAGTTCTGCACACGCTGTCCGCATTACACAAGTATGAGTTCGCAGCTGAGGGCTTTTGGATAGTTGAGTTCGGGTTCGGACTTTAGAGAACCGTACCTCCAGGATTGGTCTTGAGCTTGCCGGCACATTCGGTCCCTAAGCAGCAGAAGTTAAGACGGAGACAACATTTCCGCACAGACTGGAAAAGTCCTTCCTGATTACTAGACCTCGTCCACCGGAGCCAGGGCACCTGAAACCTGAAGCCTGACCGAGCCGATGGAAGTTGAGTACAGCAGCGGGTGCAAGGTTGCATCAATGTCGACTTTCCGACATGATCAATGCTTTGTGTCAAGGTAAGTGTATGCTTGACATGACATGTGACACGTTGACACATCTTCCACATTCCGCCCGAAGATGGGCAGGCACGCGAAAATTACACCGTCTAGGATACATAGTGCATGTTGGACCATCCACTTGAAGAATAAGGTTGCCTGACGTCTGCCTGTGATGATGCACCTACTTCGTATTGACAAAATCCGTACTTCACAGCTGCGTGGGGTCAGTTTGCCACCAAGTGTGCACTTCTCGGTATTCGAGCATTGCGTCGGCATCGCACAGCTCTGGAGCCACTGCGAGGGAAAGCCCACCGGCTGCATTCTCGTTTTGGCAGATGCAGAACTCCTTTCAGACTGCCGTCCACTCTCACTGATCGAGTCAAGTCTTCTCCACAAGAACATCCAAGACGACAAACACGAAAGCTCCTTGCGGGAAGCTTTTGCAAGAGATGGTGGCATGTTGATTGATGGACAAAGCGGTGAGATTTTGGCGACGAAGGTCAGGTTTAACAGGAGGCCCACTGAGGTTGACTTCATTCTGGAGGACCATGGGACGCGACACCACGAGGCTCTGGATGTCGCATGTGGTGCAAGGTGCGTCGCAATCACCCGTTCCGAGGACGGTTATGTCACCGTCTTCTCGTCGGAGCATCTCCAGTGCTCGCCCGTCGATGCGAGGTGCTTCCGTGTGCGAGATGAACAACGGCACGGGCAGTTTAAAGTTGTCATGGAACGGACCTCCCTTGTGCGGTTCGATGCTGATGGAAAGATGGACTTTCCGAGGCAAGCGTCTGATGCACTGAGGTCACTGGAGGCACCGCTGCAAGTTGTGGCCTTTGTCGGACCCGGGCGGACAGGCAAGTCTACTCTCGCTGGGAAAGTTGTTGATGATAGTTCGCTCTTCCCGGCCGCGAAGGTATTGGATGCCGTGACAAATGGGATTGATGCTGTCGCTATCCAGAATCCACGCATCGACGGCACCTTGTTACTCCTGGACAGCGAGGGCTTCGACAATGCCTTTGCAAAATCAAGACCAGAGGTTGCGACGCTGTGCATGCTACTTTGCAGCCAGATTGTGTGTGTAGACTATGACCGTCTTGGCGACAACATGATGGCCAACTTGGCCAGGCTGAGTGCATGCCGGGAGGTTTTGATGCCAAGTGCAGCTGTGTCAGCTGATAAGCTGGACCCACAGCCGCCAGAACTTGTGGTTGTCGTGAATGGATGCCGCTTTCATGATAAATACGATTCAGGGACGTTGGAGAAGGCATTGTCTTCCGACGAGGGAAATGCAGAGCGCAACGGATGTCGCGAAGCTGTGCGAAAACACTTCCCATGCCGTCGTTTTGTTTCTGTACCTGTTTCAACTGCCGCAGACTTCGAGATTGGTACTTTGCGAGACATCGTGCTCCAGGCTCCTATCCTGGTTACTGCAGGCATCGGTTTGCTTGCAGAATATGTGTCAGCCTACCGGCAGGACTTTGATGGAACCATGTTTCACGACCTTTTGAGCCGTTCAGTGGTTGAGATAAACGGTGGAGGTTGCATTCAACCACGGAACGTTTACCAGAGTGTCCTGCGAGACCGTGATGCAAGGTGGATAGAGCTGGCACTTCGCTTCTTCGAGAGCCAACTGCCCATAGAAGGGCCTTACCGTCCTGGTTTGAAGTATAAGCCAGACGAGGCTAAGCAACATGCTGATGAGTCACGCATGACAGAAGAGAGTGTGAAACGACTCAATGAGAGCCTGAGGGCTCACTATGATAAGGTAGAGCGAGAAAACGAGAAAAAGGGCCAGGCTACAATCAAACAGGACCTGGAGCAAAAAACATTCGAGCTAGGACCGCCAACTTACCAGAAAGTGAGCAAGCAGGACAACATGATCGCAGGAGGCGCAATGGGCGCTTTGGGGGCAACCGGAGCAGGTTGTGCCGTTGTTTTTACAGGTGGGTTGGCGTTGCTCGCACTCGTTCCAGCGGCGGGCTTTACAGGCGCAATTGCGGGTGCTACGGCTGCCCGTGCCAACACTCAGACTCAGTACACAAGAACGCAGCGATACGAGCTAAAGCAGCGGACCGTTACACACAAAACGAATGGAGAAGTCGTGGAAGGAAAATGGTTGCCTGTCCCATCTGTCCACCTTCAACCGAGCTGCGAGGTCGTGGACGAGCGCGACGTTCCCCCACAGTTCCGCGAGTAAAAGACTGTGTGCAAGAGTGCGCTGCAACCTGTGCATCTGAGTAGCTGCCTGTGCTACAGTCCTGGAAATGGGACTTTTGGAGTTAAAGTTCGGGGAACATTTAAGGTTGGGCCTTGACATGAGCTTGCGTCGATCCATGGAGGCTGCATTCTGCAGGGGATGCTGTGTGGCCAGTTTTAAGTTTCTAAGTGAGCACAACACCATGACGCCATCTTGTGTGTGGAGCTTAGTCCAGACTGGTGGCCAGGCTAGCCAGTGAATTGTCTTGATGGCGCAATTTGGGACCAAACTGCACTGGAGTGAGTGTGAGAGAGAGAGAGAGAGAGAGAGAGAGAGAGAGAGAGAGAGAGAGAGAGAGAGAGAGAGAGAGAGAGAGAGAGGGTTCTTGGACGCGAAAGAATGCCCAAGCATGTGTCCAAACGAAGGCGTTTGTAAGGTGTCGGAGCCTGCGCATTAACGGAGTAAAGCAAGGCGAGATGCAACAACTGCGTATGCTCTCGTTAAGCCTCAGTCACAGTCAAGCAAGCTATCAGTCTCCCAGTGCATTCACTTGCCAACGGATGTGTTTGCGACGTCTCTCTGTGCGATCCCCGCATGCTGCCGATTTTGAGCTTTAACAAGGGAAGCCAGATCGGGAACTTTCAAGCTTGTCGGGGTGCTGTACGCAAGAAGACTCTGACTTGCTTTGTGATGTTGGTCAGATGCCGGTTTGCTCAAGGGCTTGTGACAACGGGAAGAGTTGTATGAACTGACATACGTGTATCCTCATGAGGGCCCTGCATCTGAATTTTGACTCACTAGCTTCTTTGGTCAGCCCCCACCAGGACCAAAAGCACTCAAGTTCTGGCGTATGGGGTGCAGTAAAGTGTGTTTAAGCATAGTACTTCGAGGCTTTTTGAACTGCGAGTCATATTACAACCTCGCAAGAACCGACTCCAGACTGGCATATGCCTCTCCTCCTGAGGCGCCCCACTGGCACCACACCCTGCTGATCGTACCAATGGGCATCTTGGGCTGGGCTTTTGATATTAGTTTTTGCGACACCGGGGTTTAACCGATTCATTCAAATCCTCTTCTGGCCAGAGTTTACGGAGTTGGGAGCTACAGGGTGGAGATAGGTGGATGTCGGTGGATGCAAGATTGAAAGCGATGTGTCAAAGTGATTTTTCGCGGGTCGGCTTAGGCAGGGCTTGTCAAGTTTGCCGAATTCGCCGCAACCCCAAACAAAGCTATAGACTCATGATCATGGGGAACTGACACAGCACTTAACGGATAGCGACACGCTTGTGTGAACAGTTCAGCTGCAGAGGATATCCGAAAGGCCGTGCAAGCCTGGTACGCATCATTTTGATGCAAAGCCCGAAATAAACTAGATTGCGCTCTTGCTGGTTGAAAGCCTCTCTCCGAAGCCTAAGCCTTTATCGGTTCTCCTATAGTGATACTGTAGTGTTGTAGGCCAGGGCCAAAATGCCTAAACTTTCGAAGCACGCATGCTTGAGCCGCCTGCACCCCTTGAAACCCTCAAGAAGAAGGCTACTTCATGGGCGCTCTGCTCTTCGGGATCACGGCAATCTTGCTGCTGCTTCTCTGGATGCTCGGCAGAATAAAGCCCCACAAACGTCGACCTTAACGACCCGAGGCCAGGATTTTAGGGTTCCGGGTTGATCTAGTCTTGAAGGGTTTATAGTTCATATATAACTGTACGGTTTGAACTATTGGAGATATCGTTACGGGTCTTTAGGTGCGCTTACCTTGTAAGGTTGAGGGGTTCATTCTTCCAGCTACGGCTGCCAACTGTCAGCGTCGTTTCTTGGATGCCAGGCTGTCAAGCCTAGAAGCCTAATCAAGCGCAATGTCGTGAACGTCCTACAGCCTGCAATCTCAGGTCATTACCACGAACAGTTAGTCATTACGAAGTCTCCACCTACATTTCTGTAACTCCCATATGCCACACTGTTCGCACGCAGACAGCTGCTTAGAAAGCCGCAGGCTCCAAGACCAAGTATCTCAGTCCTGTGGCCGGTCCTTGCCTTGCCCAAAGCCTTAGCATCTTGAAGCAGGGTTTAGGGGTTTCGGGTTGTTTAGTTTAGGGTTTAGGGTCGACGAACCTTTCGTCCAAGCCCTGAGCACATCAAGAAGCACACCCATGCCGAGGGAGGCCAACGACTTCGGCCTGACTCTGCTGAATCAGCCCTTTGTCTCGTGACATTTCAGGGTTCCCCTACACAATACCCCGACGGTGTGTAGGGCCTTTTAATCAGGCTTGGCTCGGAGAATGGTTCCGGAAGGTTCTACAGGTATTTTCTGTCCGCAGCATGCGCGGGTCAGGACGAAAGGTCTTGCCCTGTTTTGTTCATATAGTCCAAAGTCAAAACTGGATCGTCGGTTGCTTGTCAACCTCCAAATAAATCCAAGGCAGAGGTCGGGGCTAAAGATCCTAAGGACTCTTATGGGAATGAGCCACTCCGAGCTTCAACTCGAATCTAAAATCTATGGCCAAGAGGGCCGAAGCCTGTCAGCGGCAGAATTGTACGACAATACATCCCGAGCCCTGCAGTCCAAGTCTTGCTGTAAAGGCCACATTATCAACCCTATAGAGCCCGACAGAACCTTAAGGCAGTCGGCCAGGAATTCCCAAGCCCCCGTCCTTGGAGTTCTCAGCTTAAGCCCTAACTCAGGCGGAGCTTCCAACCTAAACTTCCTAAACCCTGGTCAAAAGCGTCCGGCATGTGTAAACATATCATGGCAGCTGTGCTCTTTCAAGCCGAGCACGGGCGGTCACGTAGCTCCTGCGACTCAGCATGCTGGACATGAGCTGAACGTCACACCTGCGGAACAAGATTGCGTCTTCTGTGCTCCCCATGAGGCACCCACTCCAAATTGACGCCATCTATTTGTCACAGCTTCGTGCGGTGAGTTTGCCGCCAAGTGTGCACCATTCCGTGTTCAAGCATTGCGTCGGCATCGCAAAGCGCTTGAACACTTACGAAGGGAAACCGACCGGCTGCATTCTCGTTCTGGCCTTCCAGCGTGCTCCCCGCTGTCGAATACACCTTCAGGTCTTCTCCACAAAAATGTCACGAAGGATCAGCACGAAGGCTCCCTGCGGAAAGCCTTTTCAGAAGATGGTGGCATGCTGATAGATGGCCAAAGCGGTGAGATTTTGGCGACAAATGTCATGTTTTCAACCAGGCCGCAAAAGATTTTTGTGCTGGAAGGACATGGAACGCGACAGCACTCTGCACTCCATGTGGCGTCTGCCACAAACTGCGTTGTCATCACTCGCTCTCAGGATGGTTATGTGAGCATCTTCTCCTCAGAGCATCTTCTGTGTTCACCGGAAGAGGCGAGGTGCTTCCGTTTGCGAGAGGGGCATGGGCAGGGGCAGTTCACAGTTGTCATGGAGCAGGACCCCCTTCAGCATTTTGGTGTGACTGGAAGGATGGACTTCGCGAAGCAAGCGTCTGATGCACTGCAGTCAATTGGATTTGCAGGTCGGTCTACGTTCGCAGGCAACGTTATTGGCAAGAGCTTTCTCCGCCCGGCCGCGAAGGCATTGGATGCTCACTTTGACGTCGTCTACCAGCAGATCAGGAAGACCCACGAGCGAAGAATAATGACTCCAGCACATATGCAATGGCCGTATTCACGTTTTTCGAAGAATCAATCAGAGGCCGCCATGCAGCAAGTCGATGCACGGCGCAGGATAGCAGAAGCTTGCGAGCGGCCTTTGAACTATGAAAAAAAATGTCAGGCAGCGGGCAGATGCTCTGAGAATGTCAAAGAGTGCCCTCCAGGATTACCATCACATGAGCCGGTAAGCCAGACCGACAGGCTTTGACATGTGGTGGAGCAGCTGTACTGGCTGCTATCGCTTTCGCATCAAGGCACACAGTCACACGCAGACTAAATAGCATCATGCGCACAGTGAGCTCAGACGAAGTCACGGCGATGAGGGCTTCACATTATGCCTTTGCTCACCCGCCTGCCAGATGGCGCGAAGCTCACACACGCAAGATGAGTGTGGGGAGCACTATGTGGGGCTTACCAGGTTTACCATTTCTGCTGCGACAGCAACTCGATGAATGGCGCAACAATGCAGATGCTGCAAAAGTCCGGCAGCTCATTGACAAGTTTTTTTCGGACAGGGCGCGAAGCTCACATGTGCAAGATGAGCATGGGGGCATAGTCCTCCGGCTCCAACGACAGCTCCAAGAGTTTCAGCAACCCGATGAACGGCGCAAGACTGCAGATGCTGCTGAGATCCGTCAGATCATTGACAAGCACCTCCAGCGTTCACCGGGCAGGGGGCGAAGTTTATACATGCAAGATGAGCATGGAGGCATAGTCCTCCAGTTCCAGCGACAGTTCCGGGAAGATCAACAAATCGATGAACAAATGCAGATGATGGGGACGATGGGGATGTGGCGTCTGATGTGCAGCTTACAATCTCAGCTGCGGCAGTTCCAGCAGATTCAGAAATTCGAGGATAGCTGCAATGCGCGAATCCGGCAGCTCGCTGACAAGAGTTTTCCGGACAGGGCGCGAAGCTCACATATGCAAGATGAACATGGGGCCGCGGCCGCACTAATCATGGCTTACAAACACTGTGAGGGTCTCGAGGCAGCTTTGAGCTTGCGAAATAGAATCGCGTATTTGCCCAGGCTTATAGCATCCGACGACGGGCTTATGCTTGATGCCCACATACCTGCATCTTTCCAATAAGCCACCTGATATATAGGGCAAGGAGACTTCATTGTTCGGTTTGTGGGTGGCTGTTGACTGACTTGCTGTGTCTGTTGCACTGTACTGGAGGTTTCAGCCTTCCGTTGGATAATGGCCGCCGCAAGCCGATACAAGAATCCGACATGGCAACGCGGGAGGCTGAACCACGCCATCCGCGCCGAATCTGTGAGTGCCCAGGCGCGGCAATGCCAAGGGCCAGGGAAATCGCTTCTGATCTCCATTGTTTTTGTCCCAGAGCATTGGTTTTGTTGGTATCCTAATTAATCCGAAGCCCGGGCCCTAGCCCGACCCGAGGCCTTAGACCTGACATGTTCAGCTCAAGCCCTAAATCTTCCCCAATCCTAAATCCAGAAAGGGTTGTCCGAGAGTGAGTTCAGAAATCCAGCAGTTTGGGGCTTAGGTGCGAACCATGATTTGCGACAAGCCTTCGCAGCGGTGCTAAGCATACGATGGTAGTGGTGTTAACAGCTGATTGTGCTGTGATGGGGTTGTCGCGGCTGTCGTCGTTGTGGCGGTGTTGGGTGTGGCGGCTGTGGTGGTGGAGGTGGTGCTGGTGGCCGTGTTTCGAACGACGAAAATATGAGAACACCATTTGTGCTCGTGGGTTTGGAACACATGGCAACAAAGCATACGAGTGCTAAGTCGTGGTAGACGTGGCCGTGGCAGCCGCAGCAGAAGGCCTAGCTCTAGTGGTAGTAGACGTAGTAGATGTGGTAGCAGGCGCTGTCGTAGGAAAACCGCCAAAGGATGACATTGCTGCGTTTGTCAGTCGTCGTCGTGGTCGTAGCAGTACTCGTCGTCGTTGTAGTCGTCGTTGCACCCGCAGTCGTAGTCGTCGTCGTTGTCGTAGCCGCAGTCGTAGTCGAAGTCGTCGTCGTTTAAGTCGTCGTCCTCCCCGTCGTCGTCGTCGTCGTGATCGTGGTCGTCGTCGTCGAAGCCGTGGTCGAACTCGCAGTCGTCGTAGTAGAAGTAGCAGAAGTAGCAGTCGCAGCAGCAGTGGCAGCAGCAGTAGCGGCAGCAGTAGCAGCAGTAGTAGTAGTAGTAGTGGTGGTAGTGGTAGTGGTAGTGGTAGTGGTAGTGGTAGTGGTAGTGGTAGTGGTAGTGGTTGTGGTAGTGGTAGTGGTAGTGGTAGTGGTAGTGGTAGTGGTAGTGGTAGTGGTAGTGGTAGTGGTAGTGGTAGTGGCAGCAGTAGTAGTACTAGCAGCAGAAGTAGTAATAGTAGTAGTAGTAGTAGTAGTAGTAGTAGTAGTAGTAGTGGTAGTGGTAGTGGTAGTGGTAGTAGTAGTAGTACTACTAGTAGTAGGCGTCGTAGGTAGTAGTAGTACTAGCAGGAATAGTAGTAGTAGTAGTAGTAGTAGTAGTAGTAGTAGTAGTAGTAGTGGTAGTGGTAGTAGTAGTAGGAGCAGTGGTGGTGGTAGTAGTAGTAGTAGTAGTAGTAGTTTTAGTAGTAGTTAGTAGGTAGTAGGTCGTTGGGAGTAAGTAGTAGGTAGCAGGTAGTAGGTAGTGGGTAGTGGGTAGCAGGTAGCAGGCAGCAGGCAGCAGCAGGTAGTAGGTACTACTTACCAGGCAGTAGGCAGTAGGCAGTGGGTGATACGCAGTTTGCAGTAGGCCGTAGGCAGGAGGTAGTAGTAGTCGTCGTCGTAGTAATGGTAGTTATTGTAGTGACAGAAGTAGTAGTAGTAGTAGTAGTAGTAGTAGTAGTAGTAGTAGTAGTAGTAGTAGTAGTAGTAGTAGTAGTAGTAGTAGTAGTAGTAGTGATACTGCTACTACTACTGCTACTAGCACTAGCACTAGCACCAGGACTAGCACTAGGACTAGTGCTAGTACTAGTACTACTACCGCTGCCACTACCACTACCACGAACACCACCACCACCACCACCACCACCGCCGCTCCTACTACTAGTGGTAGTGGTGGTGGCCGTCCATGACCATGACGACCAGGCTACTACTGCTAGTGCATGGAGGCATCAACAAGTTACCAACCGAGAAGTGCACTACACGCTCAACGATTCTGATGCGAGTTGCAAGTTCCAGCACCTACGGTCAGCACAGCCATGCTTGTAAACAGGGGCCGATGTGAATACAAGTGACAACAGGTTCTTCCCAGGCGAGATCGTGGAGCTTCCTACTTAGGGTGTTGACGAAGGGGAGCACACGCCATTGCAGCCGAAGGCATAGAGCCCAAAGTATGTGCAGCAAGTGTTTTGCTGTTATTTAGGATTGTTACCGGCAACTTGTGAAGTTTTATTTATGACATTTTCTCATCACAAGGTCCTGGCTGTGATGCTGAAGAAGCATGATAAAACTCTGACCGCTATTGCCAGGTCTCCCAGCCGCAGAGGGAGCCGCCCCTCAGCCGCATCGCAACGACTTCGGGCTTATCCTGGTTTCGATCCATCTCCAGCCCGGCCCTAAATCCTAACCTACCTACCAAAAGCCAACTAGTTGCGTGGTTTGTAGATTGTAGATGCCAAACTAAGGCTACATGCCATGAAGTTCGAGGCGTTAAACCCCCCCCCCAGCCCCCGCGGGTTAGAAGCCTTCAGCACCACTGCCGAACGGTCTTGAATCATTCGGCGGTTTTAAGTTAGCGGTGTGGGAACGGGCATAAGGACTGATACGTGCTATTGCCCGTGGTAAAGCGGATGGCCACTCATGCCAGCACGGGTAATTGCTGCTGATGCTCATGATGCTGGCCCAGAGTGGCAGGGACCTTGTACGTGATGTGCGCTGCGGCTGGTCCACATGTAAGATGTGAGCATTCGATCCCATACACTACACGTGTCAAGGGATTTAAATGCAGACCGAAAATGCATATGTAGACGTGCCCTTCGAGAAATTCTGCACTTCGGAGCCCTTAAATCACCAAACCCTCGCCCGTTTCTACAAGGAGCCGCCGTTCAGCTGGGGAGCAGACAAAAGACTCGCCGAAGATGTCCGTTCGCTCCTCTCCTGAAGTTCGGAAATATACTCTGTAGTTCTTTGGGTTGCGAGGTACGCATCTTGAGTTCCGGGTCTGACTCTGTATGTGGCGTTCGAGGTTCAGTATTTGGGGTGGCATGTGGCGTGAGGAGAATCAGGGTCGGGGTTGTAGGACAGCGGATATTGGGTGTGAGCCTGGCAGTCCGCCAACTGCCCCTGTCTGCTTTTGTTCAATAGGTTGCTTTCTTGCCGATTTGCTATTCAGGATGCTGAAGTGACGCATATGCACATGCAGACTCACTGCACGGACATCGTGATCGTGAGCTAACCGCTAACCCTTGAATTTTCACCAAGGTGATGTTACCTTCATCGCCATTTACTGCTGGTTCATCGCTACGGCCCTTGTGGCCTGCGTCGTAAAGGAATGGGTCACGCAACCTGTGTCGAGCTGTTGTAAGCCAATGCCTGGGGCTGCGCACGGGGCTAGACAGCCGGACTTGCTACTAACGGGGATGCATTTTCCCGCACATCCGATCCAGAACGTAGCACAGGCTGCGCACTGCAAGTATCTCGAAGAGCTTGTCTAGGCGGCTGGCAAGTGGGCGGAATTGCTGACAGCCTTGGTTTGGCGGGTTGAGACACAGCTTAAGCCTTGGCAAGTAAGTCGCGCTTGGCCAAATCCCGTAAACCGTCCCTACTTTGTCAACCTACTTACTACGACTCCCTTAATTTCACATACGCCACAGTCTCAGGTTTTGGCTTGGGGTCGTTTTGTCTTCGGATTTCCAAACCTCAGCGGTCAGGCTTGTGAGAAAGCCCAACCGAACCCTGTCCGCAGGACCAGTGGTACAAGCAGCTCGTCAAGAGAGTCTTTTCTGCTGCTTCGGATTGTGACGGGAGAGTTGTTCGTGACCATTCTGGGGTTCGTTTTCGCGGTTTTCACCAAGGCTCGAAGGTGGGCATTTTCGCGAGGTTCATGCCTTGACGATAACAAAGCTGGGTCCTGTGAACTTTCGGACCTTCAAGCAATCAAATCGGTATCTAGGTGACAACTGTAGACATTTATCCTGTCCCTCATGGTCTAGTAGAGTCATTGTAGAGGGTGATTACCGTTGCAGCAGACCGTAGGCAACATGAGAAAGCAAAACCGGCAACAACATCAGTTCTGATG